ATGAGTGTAAACTGCAGAGTCCTGGCCTGATGATGTTGCTCTTCTGTGTTGGCTCATTCTTTTGAACAGTAGTGAGTGTAAACTGCAGAGTCCTGGCCTGATGATGTTGCTCTTCTGTGTTGGCTCATTCTTTTGAACAGTAGCTGCTGTGTTTCCCCGATGTCCACAGGGTTTGAAAGCCACTGGGACCTCATGTTTAGAGAAAAAAAAACATCACATTTCCTCGCATTGCCTCCCCGTTTCTGTCCATTCCCTGTAAAAACACAGACTTAAGACCCCCGACCACTGTGCATATTTATCCTATAATGTGGCTGAAGTGGTTGATCCTTTCCTGAAAGTGATAAGTAAATATTACTGGGTGAGTCGTGAAGGGAAAGTATCAAGATGCTCATTCAGACATGACGCCGATGGATTCAGCTGCCGTCAAATTTAAGTGGTAAAAGGAGGCTTGTTGATAAAAATCATTCAATCTCTCTATGGCAGCTCAGACGCCCCAAAACTGAACGCCTGCATCACCGTTTATTCATGAGTAGGAGAATCTGCGGTGGGATTAAACCGATGAGGAGTGGTTTTGACGGCTCATTTTATTAAAAAGAAACAAACACTAATTCGTGCACATCATTTATGTCTCATTTTCAGGATGAATTATTTAGTCATATTTAAAGTAGTGCTGAAGCGATATAAGCTGAATCATTTCAGAGCCATCTGACAAACAGCCGGGGTTTCTCCCGTTAAAAAAGCTCCGTCTGACTCAGCATTTTTATCCTCATTGTGTCATTTCTCATTTAATTTAATCAGACTGTGGAGGCCAGACATCAAAATGTTTCCTCTCTACACCCTGAGAACCTTGAGCTGCAAGTTATTCATTTTATCCGTTTCCTGCCTCGTGATCCGGTGTGAACTCGGCGTCACGTTTCCATCCTTGTGTGCACTTTTCTGTTGCTTGATGAAAATCCTTATGCTTCTAAACAAGTTAAATTTAGACGATTTTCTGTGTGTAATCTCCTCAAAGATCAGTTTCAGTTATACAATAAAAATATGCAACCCGTTCTGTTTGCATGACATTTAAATAATCGCACAGGTTTCTGTAAGAAACTTTTTTAATCATCATGAGTTTTTTTTTCAGGGCATTCCAGCAGAGGATTAACTGTGGGTGCTTTATTTGTGGAGTGTTTTATTATATAGATATGTATAAAGTAATTTACTGTAGACTCTTTGGTAATCTGTTTCTTCACTAAATGAAAACCCATTTATCTGATGCATTGATTTATTGTTTTGTTTTATTCTCAGGGACATCGCAGCTCGAAACTGTCTCCTGACCTGCAAAGGATCGGGCCGTGTGGCCAAGATCGGAGACTTTGGGATGGCTCGAGACATTTACAGGTAGAAACACAAATCCTCTGACAGATCTGAGGCCGTTTTGTTTCAAAGGCCACGTGAGAATACGCTCACAGTGAACCTGGGGTACCCGGTCGAGGGCCACTGTCCTGCATAGTTTAGTTGTTTCTCTACTAAAACACACCTGATTTTTAAAGAACAGATGTTTGACAGGCTTCTGCAGAACTTGAAGAGGTATTCTAGTCACTGAAATCAGGTGTGTTGGAGCAAAGAAACGGGTAAAACATACAGACCAGGATTGGACACCTCTGCACCGAACGGAGGGCTAAAAGTGAAAGAAAGCCAGGATTAAACTCATTGATGCCCAAAGGACTAAATTTCTAAATTGCCCAAATTTATGCACCTGCCTAATTTTGTTTAACCAATTATTGCACACTTTCTGTAAATCATATAAACTTCATTTCACGTCTTTTGTCTCCTATATGAAATATGTAACTGATATTTTTAATCCAAACAATCAATGATTTATAAAGATAAATCAGGAAAATTAACAAGGTGCCCAAACTTTTTCATATGACTGTATATAAAAACTGATGTTTTAAAGAATGTACGCTGCAAAAACTGTTTGTCTAACCAAGGGTTAATATCCTATATCCAGCCAATGATACTAAATTATTAATCTTATTAGTCTTACCAAGCACAATCAACTTACTGCACTGGCAGATTATTTAACTTAATTTGAGGACATTCAGACTTAAATTGAGAGAAATAATCTGCCATTGGCTGGATAAAAGATTGAAAGACTTTTGTTAGATGGATAATTTTTGCGGTGTAAAATAATATTAAATACAAAAATCTAGACAGATTTGTTCTCGTCCAGTTCAACAACTTACTGAACTACAAAAGTATTGAACTGCTTTTGGCAAAGATGTTGGTCTTGTGGACGTCTCATTTATAAAGCAAAAAGTCACATCCCACACTGTCTGTTAGGGTTTCAGCTGCTATCATACCAAAATGTTGCACCGATGAGTTGTTTAATCTACATGAGTAGACTAGTAGATCAATATCTGTAGTCCAGCAGCTCCTCGTCACTCCGGAGTTACAGCAAACGGTTTCACGTGACACAGTTAAACGAACCCAATCCAGCAGGGAGATCTTTGAAGCCTTTCATCTGCTCAGGAATTAGAGAGGAAATAAGTCGCCGCGTCGTCAGCGCAGTTTTGAATCGTTGGATGGAAAAGTCGCACAACTGCAGAGTGACTGTGTTGCACAACATCCCCGGGGAGCCACATTAGGATCGCTTGATTTAATTGCTAATGTCGTTTTTTTTTTCCTAGGTACTTTTCCTGCATTTTTTGGATTTATCTCCCAGCCTGGAGACATGGGTGTCAGGATTTTATTATCTCTGTTCTGATATTAACAGGGAGGGTGGTTGTTAAGGAGATAATGCCGCGTGGCTGCAGGGGGGTTATTTTTACTGCTTCTGTTGGGTGACGAGGGACACGAGAGGGTTTTTGAGGAGATCGCAGGAGACAGGCGTCCCGGCGAGACACCAGTGTGAGGTTTAATGTCATCTTTTTATATTCTGAGTCACAGGTGTTATTACATAAATCATCTACACGCAAATTCACTCAAACTACGATACAGTTAGAGAGTTATTGTTACTGTTTTTGTTCACCTTCTAGACTTTATAAATCTTTAAAGATGTGTCAAAATATTTTTGCTATAATCTGAGTGTGGAGAGACGAGATAATTTTAGCTTTTGTTGTTGCTCGTATTGTTTTTCCCCTTGTGCAGCGAGCATTGTTTCCTATTTTAAGGCTTTTTAAGATGTTTTTTCTGTGCCTTTCAGAGTCACTGAGTTTGTTTTTGTTTATTATTTTATCTCCAGTAGTTTGAATTCACAAAAGCCTCTCACGGATGATCATCTGGACCCGTCTGTAGTCCACCAGGTCCCTCTCTGGTCATCTGTGTGCAGTTTAAAATTTCATGACCATCTGCTGACGCTGCATTAAAAAGAATGGTTTAAAAAACACAAAATCTGCATCAAATTCTGGGTAATAAATCATTAAAAACTTCTTTAATTGTGCAACAAATGAGCCACAGTTTGAAACCCCTCGAGTCGAACGCAGACCTTGAACTTTAAGACGTGTCGAGGTTTTAATTAAACCTTTGGAGCTTCATTGTTGCGAACACGTCGTCGGCGCACACAGTCACCACATCCTAGGTGGTACATGATGGACTGGAAGGACCTGGAGGACCTCCGCAGACGAGCACAGATGAAAATCATGTCACACGGGCCTCCCTGAAGACCAGACGTTTGAGCAGATGGTGGATTGGGTCTAGTGACGCGATAGTTTATTACAAAAAAAAAAGATAAAAATGGGTCACTGCTTAATCATACAAAAAAAAAAAGAAAAGAAAGTCCAATTCTCTTAGAAATTAACCCAGTTCATTGAAACTAATAGTGTATAAGTGAGGCTTCAGGTTACATTTATTATCTGTCTGGTCCAGACATGGAGTTTTATACAACAGCAGGAGTGAGTTTTGACCACTACTGTAGCAGCGGTGACACTAATATGTTGGCAAAATAATGAACAATAACTACAGATTATGTAAAAATAATTAATGATTTTAACAAAAGTATTAATATATTATAGTGCATATAAGCTAATGTATTTAAAACTGTCAGAAAGCTGTGTGTTATGGAGTTACCAACAGAAAAGAAACAGGAAAATGTCTCATTTCACATGTAAACAGATTTGATCTTATTTACAGTGGGGAGAACAAGTATTTGATACACTGTTGATTTTTCAGGTTTTCCCACTTGCAAAGCTTGTAGATGACTGTAATTTTTATCATAGGTACTCTTCAACTGTGAGTGATGGAATCTAAAACAAAAATCCAGAAAAATACAATGTATGATTTTTAAATAATTAATTTCCATTTTATTGTGTGAAATAAGTATTTGATCATCTATCAACCAGTAAGAATTTTGGCTCTCCAGACATGTTAGTTCTTCTTTAAGAAGCCCTCCTGTTCTCCACTCATTACCTGTATTAACTGCACCTGTTTGAACTCGTTACCTGTATAAAAGACACCTGTCCACACACTCAATCAATCAGACTCCAGCATCTCCACAATGCCCAAGACCAGAGACATCAGGGATAAAATTGTAGACCTGCACAAGGCTGGGATGGGCTACAGGACAATAGGCAAGCAGCTTGGTGAGAAGGCAACAACAGTTGGTGCAATTATTAGAAAATGGAAGAAATACAAAATAACGGAAAATCTCCCTCGGTCTGGGGCGCCATGCAAGATCTCACCTCGTGGAGCATCATTGATCTTGAGGAAGGTGAGGAATGAGCCCAGAACTACACGGCAGGACCTGGTCAATGACCTGAATAGAGCTGGGACCACAGTCTCAAAGAAAACAATCAGTAACACTCTACACCGTCAAGGATTAAAATCCTGCAGTGCACGCAAGGTGCCCTTCCTCAAGCCAACGCATGTCAAAGCCCGTCTGATGTTTGCAAATGACCATCTGAATGATCCAGAGGAGGAATGGGAGAAGGTCATGTGGTCCGATGAGGCAAAAATACAACTTTTTGGTTTAAACTCCACTCGTCATGTTTGGAGGAAGAAGAATGATGAGTACAACCCCAAGAACACCATCCCAACCGTGAAGCATGGCGGTGGAAACATCATTCTTTGGGGATGCTTTTCTGCAAAGGGGACAGGACGACTGCACCATATTGTGGGAAGGATGGATGGGGCCATGTATCGTGAGATTTTGACCAACAACCTCCTTCCCTCAGTAAGAGCACTGAAGATGGGTCGTGGCTGGGTCTTCCAGCATGATAACGACCCAAAACACACAGCCAGGGCAACTAAAGAGTGGCTCCGTAGGAAACATCTTAAGGTCCTGGAGTGGCCTCGCCAGTCTCCAGACCTGAATCCAATAGAAAATCTATGGAGGGAGCTTAAAGTCCATGTGGCCCAGCGACAGCCCCGAAACCTGAAGGCTCTGGAGGAGATCTGTATGGAGGAGTGGGCCAAAATCCCTGCTGCAGTGTGTGCAAACCTGGTCAAGAACTACAGGAAACGTCTGATCTCTGTAATTGCAAACAAAGGTTTCTGTACCAAATATTAAGTTTCATTTTTCTGGTGTATCAAATACTTATTTCACACAATAAAATGGAAATTAATTATTTAAAAATCATRCATTGTATTTTTCTGGATTTTTGTTTCAGATTCCATCACTCACAGTTGAAGAGTAACTGTGATAAAAATTACAGTCATCTACAAGCTTTGCAAGTGGGAAAACCTGAAAAATCAACAGTGTATCAAATACTTGTTCTCCCCAATGTAACTCAGTGTGGATGTTTTCTGTCCAAAACTGAAGCTAATAATGTAACAGTTTAAAACTTAAGAAGTCAATGTAATCACTGTTAATTATTGAACTGGTTAGCAGATGTTAGCTTCTGTAGCTTATTTTAATATACAGAGAGTAGGTCTGCTGAATCGTGCTACAATTTATCACAAAGTATTAAATATTAAAAGCTGTTTTTTTCCTGATTTATGTAATATTTACAGTGTAAAATAATATATTAACTATTTTTAGGTTTCTATTACACAAACCTGACCTGTTGAGAAAATGGTTAGCTAATATCAGTAGAGACAAGTTTCATATGCAGTGAACATTTTCTAAGTGTTGACTGGTTAATATTTATTATTAATATTTATGACAGTAATAAATAATACTTCATTAGTTGAAGCCATAATTTTTCATCTAGCTAAAAAGTCTAAATTAATGGCGGTCTTCAGGTCTGGTTTATATGGTTATATGGTTTTCTGGTGTATACTGTGCTGTTTTACATGATTGTTGAATGAAATTAACATAATTCATTTATTCTAAAAAAAATTACAGATAATTTGTGACAGATCCAGTTGGGTTTGCTCTTAATCAAAAAGTTGCTATGAGAGCCCTGTCTGTTCACCATTTTTAGTCCTCATAGATGCAAACAGTGGACGGGATAGGTGGGGCTCATTCTAGTGTTAACTCTAGGTCCAGATGAGTACAGACAGATGTGCAGCGCAACAGTTTTAGGCTCCTTTTGTTCATGTTTTTTTTATCAGATTTTTCTGCTCTGTGCCTTCAGCTCTTAACTTGAACTGGCTTAATTTGAGCTACAGGTTTTAGGAAATCTTTTTTATTTTAATTTATTTATACCACAGTTAGGTTTTTGGTCAGTTTTGTAACAAATAATTCCACAAATTCAGTGATTTAAAACAAAAAAAGGACATTCACTGACAAGTGTACATTCTATCAATTCTTTAATCTCTAAAATACCTCAGGAAAAAATATATATATACTGTATATTTAAAAATTTTTAAACACCCCAAAATGTTTGAGTTGACTCTTTACAGCACCGACTGAGTTCATTTATTTGAAGAGCCAGATTAAGGAGGTTGGGTGCAATAAAATACCGGAGCTCTCAGATAAACATGTTTTTTTAGTGATTGTTTTCTCTGCTTCAGTGATCCTGTGTACCTTCTCCTGAAGGGTAACTTCCACAGCCAATAATTTAAGTATATATGAGCTGACTGCACATCACCCATACTCATTTCAGCATGTTGATCCCCCTGAAGACCCTCAGCTCCGACTTCAAGTAAATGATGGTTATTCACCTCAGGTTCACGCTGTGATAAATGCAGTTCCTTCTTTTTAATTTTCTCACCTGAATTTGTAATGAGGAAAGTCTTGAGTCTTAGTTACTAAAAAGCTGGCTTGATGCAAATAAACATTTTATTATTTTTATTTAATTTCTGCGGCCGGAGCTCAGCTGCAGATTGAGCGCGCTGCATGAATACTGCATGTTTTATTAAGCCTCTCGGCACAATTTGCACGATATTTGGATTTCATTTCAGATGTTTCTTTCAAGACATTCAAATCCTCTTTAACCCGTTCGGACCTGCAGCGCCCACGTGTTGCATCACGGTTTGAAAACAAAAAAATGAGGACGTTCCAGCTGCTCGAGAGCATTTTGTTTAAGCGATTCTGTTTTCCTTCTCTGCTGATTTAGTCTTCCAAGAAATGGCAGCTGAGCTCGTTCCTTATGCCGCCGCGTCCCATTACCACCTGGGAGATGCCCACTGTAATTACAAATCTGTTCTGGTCAGCCATGTGGCATTTCAACCGAGCAGCTGCTGCTTTCGCTGAGTTTTTCCTCGTAAGACAAGGCGTTTGTTTAATTCTTTTACTCGTCAAAAAGCTCATGTAGTTCTGCTGGAAAACACCCAGCCCAGTTGTTCTATTAATCCTTTAAATGTTTTTGCTGCGTTAACGGACAAGAGTTTGGGGATTAAAGTAATATTTTTACAACAAAAATTAAATACCGAATGGGTTTAATTCTCTGCAACAGCAAGGGCGCCAAATAAGTGATCTCAAGTGTCCGTTTTTAGAGATGCAAACCTCAGGTCGCCACTATAATCAGATTAAATCTCTACCAACGCACACATGTAGAAAATGTCCCAGACAGCTCAGTTTGACAAGAATATTAAAGAACAAGATAAGAACTTCTCCAGGGGTTCCTGACTCTGATATGTGGTAAAACTGAAAATGCTGCTGAATTTGTTGTTGAATGAATTCTGTTTGTTTAATGTGTGCAGGGCAAGCTACTACAGAAAGGGGGGGCGTGCCATGTTGCCAGTTAAATGGATGCCGCCTGAAGCTTTCATGGAGGGGATCTTCACATCGAAAACAGACACGTGGTAAAAAAAAAAAAATCACCGTCTTCTATCCATCACATCTCATTTCTTTTTATTAAACCTGATGTCTGCGACTTGTCCTCCCCTTTCAGTTTTGATGATGCCCATAATTTATGACTTAATCTGCTGCTTTCTTTTTCACCTTGGAACTGATCTGTCTTAATCTCCAAAAGGTCGTTCGGGGTGCTGCTGTGGGAGATTTTTTCACTGGGCTACATGCCGTATCCGAGTCGCAGCAACCAGGAAGTGTTGGAGTTTGTTACAAACGGTGGAAGGATGGACCCGCCTAAAAACTGTCCTGGACCAGTGTAAGTACTGATCCATACGTGGAGAAAAAAAACAAAACACTGCCCTGAAGTTTAGTTTTTGTGCCAGAATCATGTGACCAAAGTAGCTGCCAACCCCACGTTTTATAAACCTTTACATGGACATCAATTTTGCCTTATAATGCTATTTACAAGGAACTAAATGTAGCACTTCCAGTAAGAATGTTATAATTCTTCTGATTTTAGCCAGTTGAAGGTAGGGTAAAAGGTTTTAAAATAGGGGTCGCATGAAGTGCAGCGAAAATTTAATAATATATGTTTATTTGCTTTGATAATTTTTTAACATACTCCTTGTTGTAACCCAGCAATGCAAGTGTATGTTTTAATATACTGTAGGGCAGTAGTTCTCAATCCTGGTCCTCAAGGAACCCTATCCTGCATGTTTTAGTTGTTTTCCTGTTCTTCAACAAGTCTTTAAGAAGCCTGCCAATCAGTCATTCATTTAAATCAGGTGTACCAAAGCAGAGAAACTGCTAAAACATGCAGGATTGAGAACTACTGCTGTAGGGTTTATGAGCTATTAGTCAGAAATGTTTTTTCCTCTGTAAATGTGGTAAAGCTCAGATGTCTCAGCTTTTCACCAGCCTTGAACACAGAAGTACACATGTATAAAGCAGCATTATGCAATAATTGCCACAATATTTAATAATGTAAGAAAATCAGGTTTCAAAATGTAATAAAACTACATTATGTAATAATCGATGCAAAATGTAATAAAAATGAATTTTGTAACACTTTCAGCCACATTTATGTAATATTACATTAAGTAGTGACTGAGGTTGCAATAATAATATGGTTCATTGTGTAATAAACTATCACAAAGCAGAGTTTGTTCATTCTAATCAGTTTATTTAAATAGCACCAAGTCACAACATGTCATCTCAGGGCACTGAGAAGCCAGCAGATTGTGTAACAATCAATATACTTGTGATAATGATCGTGCTGCAGATACAACACATTTAAAACTATGAAACTTTGGTCAATACATGCCACACTTATCATTTTGTTAGTTATTCACACTCATAGCCAGATTCAAAGCAGAACTATCAAAACATGTAAACAACTTTTTCAACCCATCAGCTTTCAGAACAATGGTTACTCATGCTTTAAAAAGCCAAAAGGAGGATGTTAACATTAAATAAAAAATGCACCACATTATTAAAGTATCATTTCTAAAGACAGCAACCTCCACATTTTGTGACAATCGCAGCAAAATGTAATAATGTTATTACATAATGCAGCTTGACACACGTGAAAGTCTCAAAAGTCAAATGTGAGCAGATCTGTATGCTTGAATCTGTGCACTTGCATTTTGAGACTAAATTCTCTCCATAGTAGTTTGGTAGTGAGCACCACGTCCTGTAATCGTGAGGCTGCGGGTTTGAGGCCAGGTTGCAAAGTAACAGCCAAATCGTTTGCGCGCTCCCTGCAGAGGGGGGTGGCTAAAATCCATGATAAATACATGTTAAATACAGGTGCTGGTCATAAAATTAGAATATCATGAAAAAGTAATTTATTTCAGTAATTCCATTTAAAAAGTGAAACTTGTATATTATATTCATACATTACATACAAACTCATATATTTCAAATGTTTATTT